GAGAGAGAGAAGAGACTCTGAGACAATTTTGCCCAGGCTAGCATGGAATTCATGATCTTCCTGCCTGAGCGCTGGGATCACAGGTACACATACCTCCATGCCTTAGACTTTAGTTATGATGAGCGACCTGGATGTCCTCTTATGATAGATGTAGATTTAGCTCTATAATAACTTTCATTTCACATCCTTATAATAACCATTTATACATTACTATAACAAATATTGATTACTACTGATAAAGATATAACGTCATTTTGATCCACTTATGTGTGATCAGCAGAATCTAGCTTTAGCTTCATTCCATAAGTAGCTCTGGCACCTGAAGGACACTTGTGGTTGGCAGAATATTGGCCTGAAAAGATACCCTGGGTCTATGAATATGTTAGGTTGCATGTCAAGGTGAATTAAGGTTGCTGATGGGAGTTAAGAATGTTAATCAGCAGACCTCAAATAAAATGATTGTTCTGGATTATACCAGCAGGCCCTCTGGTAACCCAAAGGCCTTGAAGAAAAGGGAGGCTGAAGAGAGATTGAAAGATGAGACTCTACAAGAATGGAAAGGTAGGTGCTTATATTGCTGGGCTTCAAGAAGCCACTTGCCAAAGAGTAGTGATGGCCTCCCGGAGCTGGAAAAAGCAAGAAAATGTATTTTCTTCTATTGCTCTGCTGACACCTAGATTTCCTCCTAGTGAGAACCATGTCAGATATCCCACATCCAGACCTGCCAGATAAGAAACAAGTGTTGTTTTAAGCCACTGAGCTCATAATAATTCACTACATCTGTAATAGAGAACTAAAACAAGGACTTCTACTTTCTCTCCCACTGCAGAGCGTGGGATTGGCTTTGTGTATCCCCATATCAATCAAGCTTTGGCTACGGTGTGTCCCCGGGATTGCGTTGTTTAATCTCCCACTCTGGGAGGTCTTGTCCTCATGAGAACAAGTACTGGAGCAGGTCACTAGATGTAGTGGTCCAATAAAAGGCTTATGAATGGGGCTCTGTCTCCACTGCAGTAGGCAAACCTAAGCCAACACTGCTTGTGTCAGACAGTTATGTCTACTTGGTTTGCTGAGGAGGAAAAGCAATAGCTAGAACCAAGACACTTGGAGTCTTTGTATTATTCCAAAATATATTGGTTAACTTCACATTTTGAGTTCAACATGCATGCATGTTAAAATTTTATGGATAAAATCCCTATATCTGTTATTATTATGTGTAACCAAATACATTAGAAACATAAGCAATCTAACCTAATTAAAGGCAGAAATGAAAAACAGAAAGTAGGATAAGTAGAAAGCATATAAAAAGAACAAAAATAGGGGTTGAAGAGCTGGCTCAGTGGTTAAGTGCTTGCTGCCCTTCCAGAGGAATTGATTGGGTTCTCAGAACTCATTAGGGCAGCTCACAACCTTCTTTAAACTCCAGCTCCAGGGGCTCTGATGCCCTCTTCTGGCCTCCATGGGCACCCATATGCATATGCACAGATGCACACTGTGCTGGATAGCTCTAGTGTCAACTTGACACACCTGGGTTGAGGGAGCCTCAATCGGGAAATTGCCTCTATTGGACTGGCCTGTGGCCATGTCTGAAGGGCATCTTCTTAATGAGTGATGTGGGAGGGCCCAGCCCACTGTGGGTTGTGCCACCCCTGGGC